AAAAAAAACCGTGTTTGGTTTGTAATTTTATTTTATTTTTTGGAAATAAAGTAAGTTATTTTTTAAAATATTCAAAAAAAAAAATAGATGTTCTCATTTTTATTAATAAAAATCACCATGCTACTCTCTGTTGCCGTTGTTGGCCCCCCTCTTCGCCTTGCGCAAAAAAATAAAAACCACTTATTTAAGTTATCAAATATATTTTTATTTCATCTTAAAAAAAAAACAAAATAAAACAAAAAATAAAGATAGAAAGCGATCCCACAATCCTCTTCTAGTTAGAATGCTGATCTTCAAAACAACCTTATGTTTCATGACAGGGAAAGGTAATCACTGATATTTCAAACCATAATATAACCTACTGCATTTATGATTCGGATATCGCAACGGGTTATGGAGTAGGAGCTTTCTTGTTCCTCTTCTCCACCCAAGCTCTTCTCATGGTTGTCACAAAGTGCATGTGCTTCGGCCGACCATTGGCCCCTGGTAGTAACAGAGCTTGGACCATTATTTATTTTGCTTCTTCATGGTGAGTAAGCATCCTAGTTTGAGACTTTTTCTGTGTTTTAGGCTTCGTGTGGGACGGCTTTCTTACTGCTTCTTAAAGCAGCTTTCTAGTATAAAAATTAGCTTTCTAGTACAAAAATTTTACTTATAAACTGCTTTAAGAAGCAGGAAGAAAGTCGTCCCAAACGAAGCCTTAATATTCCTATGTGGTAGTAAGTTCTACAAAAACTCTGGCAGGCTAACTTTTCTGATAGCTGAATCTTGTCTGATTGCTGGAGCGAGAAATAACGCCTATCACACGAAGTACAGGCATGTGATCTATGTTCAAAACTGGACTTGTTCTTCTCTGCGAAAAGGAGTCTTCATAGCAGGAGCAGTTTTTGTGGTTTTCACAATGATACTAAACGTGTATTATTACATGTATTTTGCAAAGGTGATGAATCAGTCTGCTCGGAAAACAGATCGTGTGAGTTCGAGCATTGGAATAACCGGTTACAAATGAACTCAACCCAATCAATATAGTGTAAGACCTTAAAAAGGTATTGCAACCTATAACAATATTATGTCATAGTTTCCTGTCATGTATGGTTTTAGAGTTTGGAAGGTTAATGCTAGTTTTTTTTTATACTATAGATTTCTAATGTTTTGCAATAAATCTCTTTAGAATGAACTTTTTTCCATTATATCAATTACTTTGTAATTTTATCAATTTTTACTATTTCCTTATTACTTAATCAGATGCAAATTATTATTATTTTCTGATGGAATTAGACCCTCTCTTTAGAGAGCCTGAGAAATTATTCTGTGCAGACACCGAACGGTCTAGAGACCAATCAGAAACGCGCCACGTCACCCGATACACAGTGGTACCGAGCACCGATATCGAACAAAAAAGTGATGTGGTGCGTTCTGATTGGTCTACGGACACCATCCGGTGTCCACACCATAATTTTTTCTTCAGCTCAGGGTCTATCCCAGCTGTTCTACTATGGTCTCTTGATTGAATTAGTACATTTATGTATGATCTGATGCAATCCTAATAGACTTGGATTAGTCTTAATTGGGCCACAAGAGTGATGATATGTAGCCCCATTTGGCCCCTACACATTAGTTATATCCATTAATTCCTTTCTGATCTCAGGTTCAAGCTTGAATTTATTTCCACCAAACTGCTTCATCTGGATATTTCTCATCTTTCTCTTGTTGGCCTCTCACTTTTGTTGCATCACAGTTCATTCCATTCTCAATCAGTTTTGATTCTGAAGGTATTAAAGAATGCTTAAGATTATCTCCCACTCTTCTTAGAAACCTGTAATGCTTCTCCTTATGGGTGCTGTAGTGAATACTTTATTAAGGTAGTGAATTTAGGATTCATATTGATAAGAGTTCTTCTCCTTCCACTAATCTCATTAAAGATTTATGAACCTGCTACATCATTGTTGTTGGTACAAATTGAAGTTTGAAATCATGCAATTGAATATTGAGGTATTTTTAGTCCACAAGATGTAGCATATGCATTGAGGCATTTTGAGGTGTAGGCTTCACAAATTAAAAGAAAAAACCTTCTATTGTTGACAATGATACATATCACCATTCAAATGCACTTGGGAACTCTTTTCTTGAAATATTGGAGTAAAATGATTTTCAATCATTGGATAAATTATTCTGTGCGGATAATAGAGAGGCCAATCAGAATGTGCCAAGTAACCTGATAGTGTTAGGTACCGGGTGACGTGATATGTTTTGGTTGGCCTTCGGACTGTCTGGTGTGCGCACATAATAATTTTTCATTGGCCCCATCGTCAACTTTTTAATTGTCACCCTTCCCATCTTCATGCCACTTGAAACATCCTCAAATACTATCTTTGATCTATTTTATTTTTATGAAGGTGGCCATTGTAACATAAATTAATTATATAGATGAAATTTAATTTTAAGATTATAATTAATAATAGCCAAAAAATTCAAAATTCTATTTCTTCGCAACTGTTACAGATTACTTTTATTTTTGTTAGAGTTTATTAATAAAACCAAAATAAATTGGCACAATGTTTCTAATAACTCAGGTTGACAAAGTCAATTTCATTTGGGATAGTTTTTACTGTTTTTCAATACAAGAATTTTTAATTAAAAATTTATTTTATAAAGTAGAAAAAAAAAGTTCCAAACTAATCTTAAATTTATTATAATTAGAGATAAATTGAGTTAAGTCAACTTGTGAGTCAACTCATACTAAATTCGATAAATAATTAGTGAACTAAACCCAAAGAGCTATAATGAATGAATAAAGTTTAAGCTAGACTTAACTCAAGAAGTTGACTAGTTTAAGAAATAAAAAAATAGGCTAATTAAAATATATTGGAAATTTAAATTTTGTATTAATGTTTTTAAGTTGTTTAAAAAATAATCTCTTTTTTATTTCAAATGATTTTTTATTACCTTTTCTCTAATTTTTCATTATTTTTATTATTTTATTATAATAATTCTTTAAATTAAAATTATTCTCTTTCATAATAAATAATATAGCTTATTCAATATATATACTTGTTGCATCCTGGAATATTCGTGGCGATAGAGAAATATAATGTTAAACGTCTTAGTAATGTATGAAAAAATCCATGAGGTTTAACCTAGTTTAAATGAATCCACTAGTATTTGTAGTTTATTACAAATAAGGCCCTTCCTTAGGGGGAAGGCCTTGGCTTGATGTAACAAATAGACATCATATGGGTGCATTACATAGTGGGAATATGAAGAATTATTGTTGATGTATTTGTTTGGTCGAAAGAATCATAGTTGGTGGGTGACGGAGGTCGAAAAAATTATTGTCTGGCGACGGAGGCTAGAAGGATCGTAGTCGGTAGGCGACGGAGGTTAGAAGAACCGTAGTCGGAGGGCGACGGAGGTCATAAAGACCGCTTTCTGGTGATGAAGGTCATAAGGACTATAGTCGACTGGCAACAAAGGTTGGAACGACTATTGTCGCGTGGAAGTCCAAGAATAATTGGATGTTAGGTAAAAGTTCGGCGTCAGGTAGAAATCTTGCGATGGGCTGAATTATAGTGTTGGGTAGAAGTCTGATGAAGGTCCGACAATGGGCAAACGGGTGGAAATCCAGCTTCGGGTAGAAGTCCGACGGCGACGGATGGAAGTTAGGCATTGGGTAGAACTCCGACAAAAGTCTGACAACATATAGAACTCCGGCGACGGGTGGAAGTCCGATATCATGTATAAATCTGGTGATGGGCGAAAGTCCGACGACGGGCTAAAGTCTGATGATGGGTAGAAGTCTTACGACGGGTATAAGTCAGGCGAATGTTTGGCGACGGGCAAAAGTCCAACATCAGATAGAAGTCCGATCACTGGCAGAAGTCCGACAACGGGCGGAAGGCAGACGTCGGGTAGAAGTCCGACGAAAATTCGACGACGGACAGAAGTCCAACGAGGGAGGAAGTGTGGTGTCAGGTAGAAATCCGACGACGGACAAAAGTCCAACGTCGGAAAGAAGTTCGATGAAAGTCCGACGACCAGCAAAAGTTTAACGACGGGTGGAAGTCTGACGATGGGCACATGTCCGGCGAAACTCTGGCGACGGGTAGAAGTTCAGCGACGGACGGAAGTCCAACATCGGATAGAAATATGAATAAAGCTTAGCGACAGGCAAAAGTCCGACGACGGTCGGTGGCCGGGTTAAAGTTCGGCGGTGGTCAAGAAGTCTGGTGGCAAGAGAACTCTTCCTTCTCTTCTTACCTTGGCACCATTTCTCCCTTTTTCATGAGAAATGAGAGGTCTATTTAAAATTTTCTAATAGTAGCAAGACCAGTAAGTAGGAAGAAGATCAAGGTTAAATTAGAAGTGGTTTGACGGCCGATGTTGAATTCCTTGATCGTGGACCGTTTACTGGGCATTTAAATGTCTTAATGATATCAGAATTCAACGATCTTGAACTTGTTGGATTCATCTCGTCAAGCCACTCAATTCGACTATAAGCATATCACATTTAAAAATCATTTGGTAATTCAAATTATGGCTTGACCTTTCAAATGCTCTTTGTGTCTTTGATTTGAATTCATTTGGGTCTATTTGAGTTGAATTTGTTGTAGTTGGATTCGTATTTCCAAGATGTTTAGTTCGCCTATAAGTTCCTTGAAATCGGAGATCAAATAGTTTCCCATTTACTTTTTAAAATTTCCAACTTAATTTTACTTCGAGATTTGTGGCTGATCAACATAAATTTTTTATTATATCTTCAATACTAACTTGTAAGATTAAGCTCTTGCTATAATAATAATAACAATAATAATAATAATAATAATATGGTTTCTAAAAAAAGTAGTGATAATTTTCAACACAATTTTTATAAATATAATTATAAAATTATTGTGATAATTTTTTTTTAAAGATCTATTATAAATATTACAAATATCTCTTTAAAAAGAACTCAGGAAAACAGCTTTCTCAGAAATACCATATTCATGTAAATCTTATTATTAAAAATTATTTTTCATCACAAATATTTCTCAAAAACATTAAGAAAGTAATATCAAATAAAAATATAAAAGCTGATTTGAAAAGAAAAAATAATAAAAAAAATTGCACCAAATACATCTAAATCTTATCAGGGCATGGCATGAAATTAGGCTTAGCACTTTTTTATTTTGTTTCATACAAAATCCATGAGAACCTTTTAAACAAAGGTGTCCTTAGTTCTTAAGAAGGCTCCATACATGAAAAACCTTTAAAAAAAAAGTATATGCCCTCTCACTACTTAGATAAATTATTTGGACATCGGACTGTCCGTATGCGAATTAGAGTACGTCACATCACCTGGTACACAGTCGCAGTACACAACAAAAGGGTAATGTGACGCGCTCTGATTCACCTTCAAACAACATTCGTATCTGCACAGAATAATTTCACCACTAGTTAAAGGTTGTGTTCTATTAGTGGAATAATGAGACCATCAACACACTAATCCATTAGCAAAAACTTTGGAATCCAATCTCTTTTGCTTATGCTGATAATTTCCATTGACATCATTCAGGTTTAGAGAGAAAAAAACATGGACTAAATTTTCACTAGGAGTTAAAAAAAACTAAAATTTCAGGTAGTTTTTCATGTTAAAAAAAAGAAAAAAGAAGTTGGCTATCTTAACAGCTTGCTTGTCTGAATATGCATAAAAGCTGAAATTAACTGCAAATGTTCAGATATTATTAATAGCTTCCATTTAGGAGAACAAAATGGTCATGTCACACCACTGACTCTTAACTTCCACAAAGACCAAGCTCATTACACTATACTATGATAAATGAGCTATTTATTAGTTCAGAAACAAGGAGAACCCCCAGCTCTCAAGTACAAGGAAGGAATAGAAGAAGCACAAAGCATAACCTTTTAAAAAAGGTATCGTCACCACAAAAAGGAACGGTAGTCCTTAGCTAATTCTTCACCTGGGTCACATACCTTAAAAGCATTTGAACGACATCACCAGATATCCTATCAGACTCTGAGTCAAGGCTTTGGATTTTGGCCTCAGTTTCCTCTTCCAGGCGCTTAACGTTTGCGCCAGTATCACCACTACTCTGTTTGAAGAAAAAGGAAGCCATAGTAAAATTCAAAAATCCTAGATGATGATGATGACATTCTGACTGATTATGATGATGTGTCTCACATCATGCATGTTGCATCAGATGCACTTGATTTAGAAAAAAATAAACACATGGGTTTTTTATAGGGTTTATTTTAATTTTGGGGGTCCAGATTTTCTAAAAGAGCAAGCTCTTAAATTAATTACAACCTAAAAATATTCAAGGAAACTCTTAATTAAGCAGTTGTGCATGTGGCAAAAAAAAACCCAATATGATTAAGCTATAGTAATTGGGTTTGAAATTGTTTGCTAAGAGCAAAAAGGCCACCTAGGAAAAAGCAAGGAATTCCATTCTTAAAAACCAAATAAATAATCTGCATTGTCAAAACAGTCGAAATTACAGCTCAGTGAGTTATAAGAAGATAGATTTTATAACTCAAAAGAGTTGTAAAGATGAGGTAAGAGGGAAAGACAATTAATTCATCTAAAGGTTTAGAATGTAAACCCCAATCATTATCCTATGACCCCTTCATCCTGGGTCTTCTACTTGATCAAATAAGATAATCAACCCAATTTGACTTGACAATTCAATTATGGATTGATAAGAAAATAATCGAAGCACAGTGAAACTTTACCTCCGCAACTTTCTTTTGAAAATCAGCTTCCAGCTGGGCACGAAACTCAGCGACCTCTTTATCAGCCTCCTCTTTCGCCTGCTTTAGCCTGGCCATTTTTGCTGGGACAGATAAGAGAAGTTAACAACGACGTTTGACAACCAAACTCCTAAGCAAATATAACGTGAAAGAAAGCTAACACAATGTTGCAACTACCACAAATAACAAAGAATGTGCAACGAAAGGAGATGGCACATCAGACCCATGTAAATGAAGCTATGGGGGAAGAATTTGTGATGGTTATGCTATATCAACTCATTAACAAGCACATGCAACATTCTACATATACAAATCTATAAGATATTCTATCATAATGAAGTTTTGTGAGAAAACAAAAAAAAGATAAGAATAGCTTGATTCCGGAGTTGAGCATATGCAAAAATAGTCCAAGGGTGATATTGCACCTCTGAATTTGTAATACTTACACATTTATATTTAATCCTTTTCATTTTACGAACCCATAATATCTTTATTAACCCACTTGCAACCAATCTGAATTGCTTTCCTGCCACGACTAATTTTATGGTCCCAAACATCATTGTTTAATAAATTGCTTCGTTTCTTGGGCATAAATGACTTAAATAAGTGTAATCACTAAATACACTTCCTAGTTCCCAAACTTGAAATTTTTCATCAAACTCATTTTATTCAAATTAGGGATGTCAATATTAGAACCAAAATGATAACACAACCAGAAGAGGACAAGAAAATTTGATTTTGGGTCAAGTTGTGTAGGACTTATATTACTCAAATTTGCTGGTGTAAGCAAGTTGAGTTGAGATCAAAAAATAGCTAACTCGAGCTCGGCTAATCTATCTCACACTAGAATCAAATTTGAGCTCAAGCCAAGTCAATCTTAGATGTTGAGCTTGAGCTCAGCTTGTGAGTTTGATTCTCCTCCTCAAATTCAACAAACAATCCACGACAAAGAAGGGATGAAGTCGTGAAAGAAACTTGCTGGAAAAGGAATTGACAGGGGAAGTCACGATTAGAGCTCACAGGGGAAGAGATCAACAAGGAAGTTATAATGGGAGCTCGTTGGAGAAGATATCCACGAATTTAGGGAGAGACAACGAGGAAGTCACATTGGGAGACTGCTATAGAACACATCAATGAGGAGTCAATGAGGAATTCACGAAGGGAATTCGCTAGAGAAGGCAACCACGGGACCAACTAAATATGAAGAGGAGTTTGCAAGACTTGCTGTCTCCAAAACCTGCTCAATAATTAATAGAAAAGCGCAATTTAGAGTTTACTTATTTATTCTAATCAAACAAGTCTATTTTTAATCAAGCCTAAACTCGTGCTCATTTAATACAAAAGTTTAATTTTAGCTCAAGCACAACCTTGCAGCTCAAGCTAGACTTGAGAACCTGTTAACGAGTCAAGTTCAAGCCGATTTGGCTAACCTACACCCTTATTCAAGTCAGTAGTAAAGAAAATAAAAAAGGCAGCATGTTCGGATCCTAATCATACTAACACAAAATTCAATTTAACCATTTAATAAGTAGAATTTTTTTCTCTTTTTTTAATAAAACTAATATCTAATGACAATTTTGGATTATTTTGAGCAAGCTTTGAGTTCTATGTTGAGGGTGCAAATGAGTCAAGTCGACTCGATAACGAGCTCACAATCCGAGCTTATTGATTTTCAAGCTCGAATAGATTTACGAGCTTGTTGGGTAATCGAGTTAAAGTTCGATTGAGTTGCTACTCGACTCATTGACTCATCATGAGACTCGAGCGGGTCGAATAGATTGAAGGCAAAAGCGAGAAAGCATAATATCCAATTACTTATAGTCTAACAAAACTGGATAGAGCTTTCTCTTTCGCTGTTGTGTGTGCAGTGCTAGCTAAAATTCTAGGGCTTTCTCTCTTGCTGTTATGATTAGTGAGCGAGGAACGATGAATAGCGAGATCGTTCGACGATCGCTTAGAAATTTCTCCAGTTTTCTTATCTCTAACTTGTATCTTCACCAAGGTTTAAACTTGCGCAATTGGGTAGTGAGACGTTTTTCTTTTGTGAGGTGAGACATAAGCCTCAAGACATTTTGAGGTATAAGCCTCAAAATCTAAAAATTGTGAAAAATGAAAATAAAGATTAAAAGCAATCTTTTATATAATACCCAAATAATATGTTAAATAATGATATAAACTTTCTATTGAACTATAAAGTAATAAATTGGAATACATATGAAATAAAAAATTTCACAAGGATAAAGTGACAACTAATAAATTGCGTGAAAAAGAATTAAAATCCAAACATTAGAAGAGCAAAATAATTTGAAACATAGGAATTATGTAAAAGTATCTTATAACATCAAGTTCAACTCCAAATTTTTTCTTTCTCAGTTCCTCACTTATCCACATTTAATTCTTAAAAAAAAACTTACATAATTGAAAAAAACTTAGAAATCATCACTGAAGGGATCTTTATTTGAGCCATCATCATAACAAATTGGTTTCTCCCCTGCCTTATCCTGTGGAGTTCAATGCATCTTAATATGTTATTCTTCATTTATTTTAATCATCTTTCTCTTTCATAAATATTTATCATCAACACAAAGAAGAGAATACTCCAACATTTTTAGAGAAGGAGGTGGTGGTTATGTGCGGCTTTCTAGTGATTCCCGGGGTTGGCTACGATAGTGGTAGATACAACAAAGGTGGTGGGCTAAAGGTCAAGATGGTTGAGAGGAAGTTGTTGTGGCTTTGGGGCGCATGAAGGCATAATTGTTCGGGACTTTAGTTTATAATTTAGGTAAGTTTTAATAAAAATATATATAAATTGAGTTAGGCGTACGCCTTACGCCAGTAAGGCGAGGCGGGCCTTAGCCAAGCTGAGGTGTAGGCCTCATAAAAATGCTCGAGGCGTAAGCCTTGAGGCATTTTTCATTGGAATTGTGCTGAGGCGGGCCTCAAGGCGAGCCTTATATTGCGCAATTTTAAACAATGATCTTCACTCCTTACTCCAGAACATAATCCATCATTTTCCCACATTTTGCAACAGCTACACCGGGAGTTCGAGACGAACAACTCCTGCTTCGGCTAGGGGTTCTTTAGGTCGTTCATCTTCTTCCTCAAAGCCAAAATTTTTGAGGTTAGAATGCTTTCATTCAGATGCTAGTGGGTTTAGGTGAGCCCTAATGCCCTATTTGTTAAAAAGTTGTTTGGATCTTGCATTTATTTAATAATTACAATAATAATTTGGTTGCTTGATTTAGTTACTTGGAAGTTGGAATATTAGGATCTTGCTTAGATCTTGCATTTGTTTGCTTGATTTATATCCTTCTCCTAGAGATAATCATAATATTAATTTAAAGATAGTTTCTGGCTTTGTGCTGCTTTGTTTTAACATGCTTCACATTATAATGTTGTGGAAAAGGTTTCCTCTGAAATTATTGCTTTCAAAATTGTGTTGTAATTTGGTTTCAATATTTTGCTAGCTCTAATGTAGATTGTGTGATTGTGTATTTCATTTTCATGTCCTAAGTACTTGCCTTTGGTTTTGCAATGGATAAATAGAGATGTATACTTGTTTATTTAGTTATTCCCTTTGCAATGAAAATTGTTGATAAGGATTTTAGCAATTCAATCAATATTTTAGATGTCTTTTCCTTCTTTTTTTTTTTTTCATGAAAGAATTAGTATGCTACATTTTTACTGTTTGTGTTATACATTCTAGAATGTAAGCCAAATCATTTGCCGAAAATAATATTAGTGACTCAATAAATTTAGAAATTGTTGATAAAGTGCAGTCGTATAGTGCATATGCACATGATATTTTGAATGAAAATAATATTTGTGTGGGGGAAAATAAGGGCATAAAAAGGCATGCTGCTAAAACAACTAATGAGAATAAAGATGAAAATCCAATAGAAACTACAAAAAGACATTAACGATTTGGGATGAGTTTAAGAATGAGTAGGAAGTTATTCTTCTTGATGGAAAGAAGAAAGGGGAATGCTTTTGCCAGAAAAAACTTTCTATAGCGAATACAAGATCAACAACAGTTTAAAAGACACTTAGAACATTGTGCTGCTAGAATCCGTTCCTAAAGAAACTAAAAAATTTTGCGTTTCAATCGAAGGATATTGATTCAGCAATTGAAAATTACCAGGAAAGTAGTAGTTTGACATCATTTAAATATGATAATTTTAAAGTACGAGAAAGCAAATCATACTATTAAATGTGATAATTTTAAAGTACGAGAAAGCAAATCATAATATTTCTTTATCAATAAGAAACCATATTCAGTGGTGAAAAAATTAGGTTTCAATCTGGTTCTAAAGTCAATGTCACGTTTTTTTTTAATTTTAAGAACAAATGCTCATAGTGACATCATGTTAGTTTACAGGAAAGAGAAAAAAGTTATAAAATATATTGAGAAGTATAAACAAAATCAGTTTTACCACAGACTTATGAAAGTCAAAGAACCAAAGAATTTCTAATATGGTTGTCACCGCACATTATGTGGACTCTAATTAGAGGTTACATAAAGGTGTTCTAAGTTTCCTACACTTGCCTCCTCATACAGCTTCTAAAATTCTTGACACTTTCTACAAATCCTTAGTGAATGGGGTCTAGAGAATAAAGTATCCACAATATCAATTGACAATGTTGCTAATAATAATAGAGCTATTAAATTACTAAAGGACAATTTCAATGTGCAAAATAAATTATTTTTTAGAGATAGGCTATTTCAAGTTTGTTGTTGTGCGCATATCTTGAATTTGATGGTTAAAAATGATATTAAAGGTCTAGAAGCTTGTAGTTGACAAAATTTGTGACATTGTTAGCTTTATAAATGCATCAGAGTAGAGTGCTTCAATTTATTGATGTTGTACAGTTGTTGTAATTGCTCACTATAAAACCCGTTATGGATTGTCCAACACATTGGAATTCAACCTACAATATATTGATTGTGGCCTTTAAAATGAGGGAAGCCATCTTTTCGTATCGTGAGAGAGAAATTGCTTATCATAATTGTCCTACAAAAGAGGAATGGAATAACATAGAGAAGGTTTGAGATGTCCTAGGTTTTTTTAATGAATAAGCATTATTTCAGGTACTAAATGCCCTAATTCAAATTTAATTTTATATCAAATATGCACCATAAAGATTTAGATGATAGCTCAATTGCTCCTAGTCAATTTATCAGAGATATGACTAGAAAAATGATAGGCAAATCTGATAAATATTGGTGCGAATGTAACATTCTAATGGCATTTGGTGCTATTATGGGTTCAAGGATGAAATTTCTTATTATAGAGTTTGCATATTCTACAATTATGATGGAGATAGGAGTGCACAAGATATTCATATGTTTGTACTTTATTATTTGAATTGTATAAAGAATATGTATCACGCTTTGAGTCACAAATTGAAGGGGCAGGTGGCACATGTAGATTGGGGAGAGCAGCTTCGATAGGGGAAAATACTAATTTAAGAATGGGTCATACATTTGGAATAAATATATATAGTTTGTGGCTTAATTTCACTGCTTATGTCTTCTAATAAATAAATAAGAAATCTGTTAAGTCAGATTTAGATAAATATTTAGAGAATGGCATAGAGATTTGTCTAGCTGACAGGACATTCGACCTGATTGCATGGTGGAAGAGCAACCAAAAGAAATACTACATATTATCAAGAATGGTTGTAGCATCATATCCATCCCAATTAGCACAGTTGCTTAAGAATCTACATTTTGAGCATGGGAGAGAGTTATTGATACTTATAGTTCTATTGGGTGTTGAGACAGTACAAACTCTGATATGCGGGTCTAATTAAGTTTGTTCACAATATGGATTAAAGGGAAGGATAAAGGAATTGATTTTTTATGCTTTTTTTTAATTGTTATTCAAAATTATTATATGTTATATTAATAACATATTGTGATATATATTGTTCGTAGGAAGAGGAGGATGATGAAGAGATGGAGATACCATTATCATCTAGTTAAAAGCATTTTAAGGTAATCCTACTCACTATCTTTCTACTCATAGTCACATTCTAAATGATTTAATGCAAAGAAGATAACTTTCACTTTTCCCATTTGCAGATTGCCTACAAACTGAATGAAAAAGATGATTGAGACTTGGAAAAATTAATTTTTTTGGTGGACTTTGTAATCTTCTAACGGCATGTTTATGTATTTTAGTTAAATGTTGGGCTGTATTAATCTATTTGTTAAGTGAACTTTATGAGGGCTATAATTGATACTTATTATGTGTCCTTTTATATTATTTTATAGTTCTTTTTGAACAATCTAAAGTTGGAGGTACTGTCATCCTGATGGTTGTTTGTAAAACTAATGTTATTTATATTATGTTTGAGCAGGATTGTTCCTAATACCCAATATTGTCAATTATGCTTAATTGTTTAATATTGATCATTTGAACTTCTATAAAATAATCTGCCCAATAAAATGACAAGATTGTTATTTGCTTTTTATTTAGAAAATTGAACTTGGTATTACTTTTTTTCTTTACTTATGTAATTTTTGTTAATAGTCAATGAATGGGCTTGGGTCTTATTTCTCCTTAAAAAAAAAAAAGAGGACTGGAGCTATCTCCTTAATGTAAAAAATTTTAAACCAACTTACCATGAAAATTTAATAAAAATTACCTTCTATTCGAGCCTGCAATCAAGCTGAGCTCGAGCCTGGGGTTTGGAGACAGAAGTCGAGTTCGAGCTGAGTTTGAGCTCGAGTTCGAGCTACCTAAAAATTATATGAGTTGAGCTCAAACTTGCTATGGCTCGAGCTCAACTAGAATTTCACCCCTATTCTATGCAGATCAAAATTATAGATTGAACTCAATACCCTAATAGCATAACTACTTTACATGCATTTGAAATTACTCTCAGAAGTACGTCATATTCTTCAGTATGACTTGTATTTTAAACAATTACTAGTTTACTAAAAATTTAATTTAGCATTGACAATGTATTATTAAGACTATGAACACTTAAATATTATAGGAAGCTTAGCTTTCACATTTTTTTTTCCCGTAAAATATCAGGTTAGAAACAATCTGTGTGATCGAAAGTGTGGCAATGCATTGAAATTAGCCTACTCTTACAAATTAGAAATTAGCTAGAGATTATATAAGCATCGGACAAAACAAATTGTGAGAATATTAACGGAAAAAAAAATTTCATTAAACATAATGCCCTCATCACAGCTAGGATGCACGTTAGCAATTCTACAACAATGCGACATAAAGAGAGATTTAATGAATTAGCTCACCATTCCTAGCAGCATTGAGAATATGCTGGGCTTCTTGTTCTGCAGCTAATAGTTGTTGAATCCCTTCCTGACGTCTGCTAGAATCCATTTGTTTACCTGCCAATTAAGCGATAAATTAGAACTAATATTACAAGATACTGAAAGCAGAATATAATGCACACGAGGAAAAACAAAACTGAGACAATTAATTTCTGTCAACCAAACTTATCAAAAGTAGAAAAGAACATAGAACTCAAATAACTGCTCCCACCCTCATCCTCAAGAATGAAAAAGGCAAATGACAAGTAATACACAAATATGCACAAAAACCTAATAGTCAACCAAGTATTTAAACTAAAATAAGAGACACATCAAAACTGCAAAGGAATTAATCATCACTGGATATAGGAACATAGGAATCACTACGAAAGCCCTCATATCACAAGAATATCAAGATTGTATTCACCATCAAGCGCTGTACTAAGAATTAGGAATATGCTATTAACAGTATATTCCTTGAAAATAGCTTTCTTTCATGGACGATATAAGTTCTACATGGTAGTTTTAAATTTCTTCTTAAAATACTCCACATTATATTCTCAACTCATTCTCACCAAGCCCTAAAATTAAATTTAAAAAAATGTGCACCAGTGCATGAAGATCCTAAAAGTTGATGCACATTGCCTTACCCTTTACTCCAGAAAGGCTGTTCATACGTAGCATTGCCCCTAAAAATAAATTTAGTGAACTATATTAACAATAATTCATCCTTAACTGTGGGCTCCGAAAATTCGGCCCCGGCCTCCGCTCGCTTTTCTTTTTTCGGCGAGGGAGTTTTAACTGAATATGTTCCGAGGTAAATTTTGGAAGGCAGATGGGTTTGTAGATAAGACACTACCCAGAGATTTCGCCCTCATTTTGTGAGGACTTTATGATCTGAGTTCTGGTTTCCTATAGGCGCAAGCCCCTATAGTTAATTACCCCTCTCGATCACGAGAGAGAACTTTCGATTAAGGCTAGTCATTGATCAGATACGTAGAAGCACTCATTAAATATCCCACTATTATTAAAGATGGACATGACTTGATTTAGTTCCAAATATAATATGACTCAGAACATAACAGAAAAAGATAGAACTAACAACAAACAAACCCAAACAGTTCAAATCGGGCTATATTTTTAGTAAAATGAATATATAGTTTGGATTTGTTTGATTTCAGTGATTGGGTTTGGTTATTAAAAAACTAAAATACAGGAGAGTTTTCATAGGCTATACTACGCTATAAATTTGAGATTATCCCTTTAATTGCTGAAATCAAAAAGGCTTCAAACTGAACTAGGGATGTCAAAATGGGTAGACGGATCTAGATTGGGTCCAACCCAGAGTTGACCCGGGTCCAAACAGGTTGACCCTAACCCGACCTAATTTTGCAAACGGGTCAGGATTGTCAACCCGGACCCGACCCATGCAGGTTATTGGGTTGACCCGACCTGACCCCACGATGTTTAGGGATCATGCGCATTCCTCATTTGTGCGCTACAGAGCTAGGCGAACTGGCAAAGGGCTGAAGGCTCTAACGCGGAGAAACCAGTTGCGGTACAGCGGCAATGCGGATCTGCGGGCATGGCGGTAGCGGCCACTAGCAGCAAGGACGAGACGACGAAAACAACATGGCGACAGCGGGAGGCCAGTGCGGACAGGACTGCGACGGTATTGCCGGACCAGCAATATTTCAAACTTTCCGGTTCGGTATTTCCGGATTTGACTAGGCGTCAGGCACAGTCATGGCGTCATGCGACGATGCTAACGAGACGAGGTTACGCACGATGTTCCCGAGACAACCTGGGTTGGTTTTTGGTTTCCGGGTCAACCCGAACCCAACCCGGTTTTATAAACGGGTCAAAATCCAGAACTCAAACCCAACCCGTTTCTCAAATGGGTTGACCCTAACCCAAATTTTTTTAATCGAGTTTTCGGATCGGGTCAAATATTGACACCCCTAAACTAAACCAACCAAACCAAACACCTTTTTTTTTTTTGCATTGGCTAAGTTTTGCATGATTGTTTTTGCTCACAGAGTATACCATATGAAATGAGCTGTATATAAAATTATTCACTTGAATCTGTATCAATTTTCTCCCATCAATTTTCTCCCATCAATTTTAAGAAAATAATAAAAATAATTTCGATAATTTCATCTGTATGTTAATATTCTTTAATCGGTTTTGCAATTATTTTGTCAAAAAAGTCTAATTCAAATTCAATAGCAGCTTATTCCTGAACATCTTGACCAACATATTTCTAAGAATTCATACTTCAATGCAACTAATAAACACTCTTTTTTTATTTCTGTTATACATGCTGAATATGAAAATCATTACAGCACAAATATATAATCATCAGAATGTACTATTAGATGAGCTTAAATGTTTACAGATGTTGCACCGATACGGATACGGCGACACGGATACGACACGATACGGATACGGGACACGTCAATTCTTAAAAATACAGGATACGGGTACGGTGCGGACACGGCATTATAATTTATAAATCATACATAAAAATTAAGAAAGCAAACAAAGCATAATATTTGAAATTACAAAAAAAAATGACAACAACATCATTTTTAGCCTTGTAGCTTATAATATCAAAATATAAGCAAGCATTAAATGTCTAGTACAACAACAAAAGCATAAACATAAATTATCTAGCACTTGAAGTTTCAACTATTCAATAGAGGGAATTATATAATTATCTTCTTCATTGGTTTGTCTTTGAACTTCTATATCATCTTCAATAAATCTCATAGCTTCTAATTCAGGCTCATCAAGTGAAATATTAGTAAATTTTAATATTTTCATATCATCAAGAGACTCAAATCCATATCGAAAATGAGAGAATCTTGCTCGCAACCACGGAAGTAAATATGACACGTCTTTTTTTTTTATTTCTTTTTGTTTTTCAACGGACACGCGTATCGGATACGCGTGTCCTTTCAAAATTAAATAGTATTTTAATTGGATACGGCTTTGGCGTATCCGACAAGTATCGGTGGAGTATTGGAGGCGTATCCGTGTATCGGTGTATCGGATACAGCACAACTTCATAAATTTCGGTGCAACATAGGTTTACACATAATTGATGAAGAATTACACTAGCAGCAATACAATTAACTTCGAATAAAATATCGATTTTGTTGTGCGCCCAAAATGTTCCATACTGGGAGAGGATAAGGTCATCCTAGATTAGTAATGTCCAAAGAAACAACATGACAATAAAGTCGGATAACTTTTATGTGCAAAGGGAACAACACAGGCAAAGCCAAATGTCAATTAGATCCCAGGGAATCTTACGACCTGCTTTTAAGGGGTACAAATATTGCAGCATCCTTTCTTAGGTAAACTGATGAAAAATCTAGACTCTTAATACTTCGAGAAGGTTATGTGGCATTACTGGCGTAAGAGAAAGTTGAAAAATAAATATGATGGAAACAAGGGGAGTTGTTTTCTTCTTCTTCTTCTTCTTCTTCTTTTTTACCATTATTTACAGTTTATAGATAATAGATTGATGGGTGGCATGTTTCTGACGCAATTCCTGTAGTTTGTGATAGGAAATACTTGAATTCGCAAGTAACCCTACGGGTAATACTTGAGTTCACAAGCAAACCTATCTCCAATTGGTGAAAGCATCGAGAATAATGCAAAATCTGGGCCAAATCGCCCCAAAACGGTGGATTGCAATAAGAGAAACAAAGCCAAACAAACACGAACAAGATACAAATGATCCTCAATTCGAGAGGAGGATCGACTCTCCCAAATCTCTAGACAAGAGAGTCTAGAGTCCAAACGCCAAGAAACCCTAACTTGCAATCAAACAAAACATAAAAACACCATAATCCCTCTGATCCTCTATAATACAAAATCTTTCCTAATCGATTTTCCCTCCCAAGCCCTAGCTGCCCCCTCTGTTTAATTTTCAAATCTAATTGAGGAGTGAGGCCCACCCAAGAAGTGGGCCAAGCCAAGGGAGGCGGATGGATTCCGCCTCCTGTAGTAGTGCTGAACCGGCCCACTACTAAACCGGCCCTTGGGCCACTTGGGCCTGTTCAGCCTGAACCGGCACATCAGTTTGCTTCCAATAGTAGCTACTTGCCATTGCTGTGAAAATGTTGAAACGATGAATCATTTATTTCTCAATGTTTAAGTAACTGCTTTTGTTTGGAATTTATATGCTTCCCTTTTCAAGATCCGATTATCTGAGACGTAATATTTCATCTTTAATTTGCAGCTGGAAGAATTCTAGGGACAGATTTGGCGCTGGTCATCTAAGCTCCCTAGTACTCATTTTATCCTATGGTACAGCCGGCTTAAAAGAAAAGATTCTAAACACAGCGAGCTCTACGTCAACTATAAGAGGATTGTTTGAAAAGTGGATAAAGCTCGAATGAATACAACTTTCAAGGAACCTGTCCACTTCAGCTTTGATATGCTGCCTCATACCTCAGCAATGCTCCTATTCCTCTGATAACTTACTTATCAGGTGAGCATTCAGTTAGTTACAGGAAACGCTCATATCCAACCTTATTTTATAAGAGAGAAATTAGCTCGATTATGCAGTAGCCTTCGAACATGGAGCTGATATGAAAAGTCCAAGTTGAATTTTGCTCTTACTAAGGGATTGTTTGGTTGCAAATATGTAGTATAAAGTAAATCAAATGCATATATATTGAAATTTCAGGTGTTTGTTCAGAAGAAAAACAAATGCTGAGTAATTTTTTTAGGTATTTAAAATTTCCTACCTAATTCATTTTCAATGTATATTGAATTTGCCCAATCGAGGCTAATTCCAAATATGCCATGTGCATAAAGCTTCGTCCACAGCCAACAGTCACCGCCACCACCCCTGCCGCTAAAGCCCACCACCACCCATCACCAGACATCGTTGGCTAGTGCTGTCAGCCGCTAGCCACCGCTCAGCGCCACCCGCCAACCATCTCTCACCACTAAACACAAAAAACTAAACTCCTGAATTTCTTTTACAAGCAACCAAACACAACAAAATATTTTAAATACAAAATTTTAATTTACATTGTATTTTGAATACATCAAATTTCTAAATACTGACAACCAAATAGCTCTTAAGACTTCAATGAACTCCTCGGTCACTAGAGAATTTCCCAATTTGTAGAGCCACTATAGAGTATATGGGACATCTAGGCTCAAATGGTGTTCAAATAATACATGTGCAACTGGATGAGCTAGCCATAAATATTAATAGTAGCGAGCAAGGGAGGATTTAAGCTGGGGGCCGTGGGGGCACGGGCCCCCACTGGATGTGCGAGCAATGTCTAATTAATACTATATATTACTCTTTAATTAGGCCTAAAGCAAATTATTAATGTTAGATATTTTTTTCGTCATCCTCATTCCCACCCGTCTTACCCAAAAAAAAAATTCCCACCTGCCTTGCTTCTTTTATGCACGGATCAAATATCTCTACTTGACACAACTCTCCTTGGCCTATTGGTTAAGAGCTTAGGCTTCCAACTAAGAGGTCCAAAGTTCGAGTCTATGTGTATGCGTTGTGTGTGTGAGTTTGCCTAAATGGCCTAAATGTCCCAAAAAAATATCTCTACTTGTATTAAAAAAATACTTGAGTGGTACCTCGTTCTTTTCCACATCTAGTGATCTAAGCCAAAAGCCCTGAGTTTAGGGAAGCTGGAGCTAGGTTTCGGGGAGAAAGTATTGATTTTTTTTTTTTTTTTTTTTTTTTTTTTTTTTGTATTTTCTCCAATGAATCAACTTTGATTTGAACTTGGTATGCATTAAGACTTATGTGAGGAGAGCTTTTTTCTATTTAAAATTGAGCTGGTAAATTATAAAACTTTATAATGTGTGAAATTTTATAAGCAATTGGCTATTTTTCACATTGCTTTATTTTATTTTTCTTATAGATATGATTAATTAATCAGTAAAAGTAATGTGATGTTGTTTTCATTCAAATTAGATATGCATATGTATTTCAAAAGAAAATTTGAAGGAGATGACTAGAAACTTTTATTTGAGGAAAACAATATACAAACTAAAGAAAGCCATACACAAATAAATTATGCCGATGTCCCCACTGATTCTGGATTGAGAAAAAAAAATTTATATTATAATCCTAATGAGAGGGATAGTGTGCAGAGATACTACTTGTCAAAAGGATCGTGTCAATCACATGATCATGAATTCCCCCCCACACAAATTGAAAATAAATTTCATAAATTTAAAAAGGTTGACGATTTTTTTAAATTCAATAAATTGTGCCCCCACATGAAAAAAATGCTGGCTCCGCCCCTGGTAGTGAGCCAAGTCTAAACTTCATTATTAAGTGGTAAATCGACTCAATGGCCGGTAGTCATTCAATTATTGTCAACCATAGATTGCATTATATGTTGATGGAGCACTTGAAACAATGAAGTCAATCTCCCTCATCTTTCAACACTAGTCGTCACCCAAAATGATAGAAAAAGTGATGATGTACTTGAGTTCTCTTAATCACAATGCACTTAATCAGAATACACTTAGAGGCCAAAGATTCTTCTCTATGATGTCAAGCTTCTCCAAATAGTGAAAGAAAGGGCATCCACTAAGGAAACCCAAAGTCAATTAGGATCAGACAAACTTCAAAATTATTGATCACCACTCTCATGATAAAAAAGAGATTGAAGACATTCCAATTTACGCAAATCCTCATCTATAAAAAATGGAGGTAACTAAAGATTAAATTTACCCCGTATACTAGACCCTTTGTAGACTCTTTCAATGAGACACTTCTAATGCCACTCCACATACGATCATCATAATTATGTCAATGATTTAGACTCAGCCTGGCTAGTCTTCTCCACTAGCTCCTGTTTATCAATGACATAGATCTAACAATCCCTTCAAGAGACCCATTTTTATCAGCTTTGCAAGTAGTAGCTTTAGCTAATGGGAGTTATAAATATTGCGGCCATGGTAATTATGGTGAAGTTAAAGTTTGTGCACATTCTCTTCTCTGATGGAGCTCAAATCTTGCTTGGCAAATGAAATTACTCTTAATTCAAATCATCTGCATAGCAGTGCCTAGCAGTTGATTCAAAGAGGAGCAACTCAACCTAGCCCAGATGGGGTTGATGTGGAAAGGGCAGAGCAACTCCTAACTAAGTTTGGTATCTTATTATAGCGTATCAGAGGCAATTTTTATTAGCATGCACCCTCCTTTTTTTTATTGATATGAACTTGAGCAATAGGGGATAATGAGACCTTCAAGAAACTAGTGAGATCATGAGCATTAATGTACTTATTGGCCTTCTATAGTGGATCCACCATCATTTTTGAAGGATTTTTTGCGACCGTGAATTTGAACCAGACATTTCAAATACTCTAGATGAGTGACACCTTATAAACTGAAACATCCAAATCAAAAACTCTAAAAGTATTATAAAAAATATTTAAATTATTTGAATTTAAATATATTAAGTGATAAGAAGTAATAATCAATGTTAAGAAAATGTTTACATTAAATTTTACCCCCTCTACTATTAAATAAAGAATACATATTTTTAAAAAAATATAAATAATAGGAATAAATTTAATATAGACAAAATTAAAATTTAGCATCTATCTTCACAATCATTTTCGAAGTGTTACTTAACTGCTAATGCCCTAAATCAAATATGTTGCAGATTGTGTCTGCGATCTCCTTTTCAGAGAAAAAAAACAGAACGAAGGGGAGGAGAAAAGTCAAAGGGCCTTCGCTAGGTTAGGCAATTCTTGCTGGTCGGGGTTTCCTCACTTCTGACCTATACCTTCTTCTCCTTAATCGTAATTGATTTCTTGGTATTTTAAATCCAGTCAATTAGTAGCTGCTGGTTCTTCTCATGGTAAAAGATTGATCAAATTTCTTGCATTTTCTTGTAATCGATAGTCGATCTGATTAGCGGATCTGTTTCCTCTCAATTTAGGCGTCATATATTGCTTAGAAATAATTTTGATGATTGATTCGACTTCATACTTGTTTAGGTCGCCTTGCATATTTGAATGTAGCCGTTCTCTATATATTGTAGATCTGATCTCTCTCTTTATCTCTCAGTGTGCATGTGTGTGTACATATATCCAAGAGTTTTGATGTTTTCCTGACAACATGTTGTGTTATTGAAGATTTAACAATGCCCATTTGATGTTTGCTTGACGATGTTTTATGGCCTAATTAGGAAAGTTTCTGCTAAGATCATAAGATTCTGATAAAGCAAAATTTTTTATGCAGAGAAAGAATCTGGAGATACCTACAAAACACTAAAATTCTGTCTCATTCAACCCAATTTGTTTGAATTAATGCCTAATGAACTCAATTTGACTTGATCTATCCCTATACATACTCCTAAAATTATAGTGAAGTCTGTGCAAGCTTGAAACGGTCAAAACTTGTCCCGAATCATCCTGATTGGCTTGAATTTTGTTGAGCCGTAGCCACTTTTCCAATATATCATCAAAGCTGCTGAGAGTGTGTACTGAAAAATGGGTTGTCTTCTTCTTGGATTGCTTGGGATTATTGAGATTAGGGACGGAGGCTTATTCCTTTCTTGAAGAAGGAGAAGAAGTAAGGCGGATAGGGAGGGACGGGAGAGCCTTCTTTGCATGAATGGTTTCTTCATATGAAGAGTCTTATCTATGGAGTGAAAAAAAGGAGAAATATTCTTGATTGATTCAAGATTCTTCAAGCTTTCTAGAGCATACTAGATTGACAAAGGGGGATGTGGAGGCTTAATCAATAAACACTATGGGGCTGTTTGGCAACAGGATTTATGCAGGCACGGCGGAATAAATCCTCCGTTTCCCTCTTTTTGCCGTAAATCCCAGATTTATTAAATCCTGTAGTTCGGCGAATTTACGGGATTTGGCCGAAGAAGCGCGCGAAAGAGAGAAAGATACCTTCACAGCGAGCGAGCTCCCGTCGTTGCTTCCGATCAAAATGTAGTGACTTCCGAGAACGCCGTCGAAGGAGCGAATTCGAACTGCAACGAAGGAGCTGAAGATGTGACTCGTACAATCTCTACACCTCCTGCGGAGCAACGAAGCCGAACCTCAACCACGAAAAGAGAAGATAAAAAAGCAAGCCCTAAATGGCTATAAATAATTAATAAACCTTATTAGGAAAATTTACATACATACCACTTTATTTTATGCTATTTATATATCTAACCTCTAAAATATTAATATTACATTCATATCACCCATATACAACTTTAATATCAAATATATCACTCATATAATTCATTTATATCATTCTTACAATTCTATAAACTTTAATATTTCATTCCATGCACTCAAATTTGTTCTATGGGTGGTAATCATGTAATATTAATATTTTTGAAGTTAGATATGTAAATAGCATAAAATAAAGTGGTATGTATGTAAAACCCCCTTAAAATTTTTAAGTGATTAAAAAGATAATCAATAATATAATTTATAATTAAATTGAACTAAATAATATTTAAATAATTAATTAATTTTTAATTGAATTAATATAATTTTAAATATAACAACTACTATATAATATTATAAATAATTTTTTTTTAGATAATAAAAATTATAAAAAATATTATGTGTTTTGTTAATATTTTTAACATAATTAATTGATGATAAACTATAACTATCATTTTCCAATCTTAGACACTTTCATAATATAATCAAAAGAAAAAATAATTATATTTAGAGTTCTAAGTCTGTTGTGTTGACCCAATACACTTGTTGTTCTAGCTACTCTTTAGAGCCACACATGACCTACATTATACACTAGTTAGAGGTATATACATTGATGTTAAGGCCCTTGTGTTCACTTAGGTAACTTAGATGTTCTAGAGGTGCCTTATGTCACAACCCAATCTAATCATTATAGGTCATATCGAGTTGAGTTGTGACAGACAAATTCTAAGATCTAGTTTTAGAATGTTTCATATTCTCTTTTAATATATTTATTTTCAATAAATTATAGGCTACAGAGCCACTAAAATATTTATAACAATGTAAATAAACTCATCAACAATATTACTGTCATTTTTCATAAAAAAAAATGTATATATACTAAAGTACATGGCTACAAACAAAAATTATAAAATTGAATAATAAACTAGACATAATTGTACATAAATCAAAATAAAAGAAACATCTATAAACTCATATCTAATCTTGAATTGTTAATCAATAAGTTCATTCCTTGTATTATATCTTGAAAATATAAGCAAAATCACAATGAGCTATAACAGCTTTACAAGCCACACAATCGATCTAAATTTTCAAATTCTTTTATTAAATATTTTGTTGAATATTTAAATGTTGTATAACAAATCTTTGTATTAAGAAATGTAATAAGAGTATAACCGTTATTCAATTATTTAAATATCAATACTAAGTAGACAAATAAATTGAAATTCATATCACAAACAGATCATATCACATATCCCGATCCTAAAAAAATCTCAAAGGATTTTGGCCTCTTATGACTCTATTTTGTGCTTATAGTATCAGAGCATGTCCGTAGGCACCAGAACATAGTTTATAGACATTATAACATGTCTTATAAGCACTAAAATATTTCTTGACATAGATATAATCTCAAAGGATTCTAGCCCTTTGTATCTCCCAACAGTCATAATTTAATCACATAAGCACATATTTTATCACATTATAATAGTTAAAACATAATTGAGTACATGTTAGAATTGCACAATTTTCTATAACGACAACCAATAGAAATTTCTACTGAGTAAAATTTTATAGTTTCAAAATATAACCAACTTATCAATGATTGTGCAAAATATTTTTTTAAAACATTAATGCATTACATCACTATTTTTTTATTGTATGAATTATTTTTTATTTGATAAAAACTCCATAATTTTCAAAATACCCAATAAATTTTTTCTTGAAAATATTCAGAATGATCATAATCTCAATCTCTATAAAATATAAAAAGTTACGCAATAAAAATTTTTTTTCGTTGCAAAGTTATCCATATTTATTGGTAATAGAAATATAAATTTAATAAAAAAATTGTATGTTTTTGAAAGCTGAGAGATGCATAATGCGACCTATCTCGATCTAGACAACTTTTTCAATTGGCCCGACGGCTTAAAACTGCCCAAAATGACTCAAAGTGCACTTTTTCCTCTCAATCTCTCTCCTATATTCAGCCGGCTTTGCTCAATCAAATGGAATGGAATAATGCTTTTATTTTAATATAAAGTGCTCTTATGGCCGGCCCAACATTGCAGCGCTACAAGCTTAGCAATGCGTCTAGAGTCTTGAGTGTTACAATGTTACTATTTGGCATCTAGTACTACAGCAGTGCTTAGGCGCTCAGATACCCAAAACTAAGGTGCTTAAAATAGTAACATTTCTCTAATTTTATCGAAATTCACACCAAACATTTAAGAGATATTCTAAATCACACACAATTATGTTCAAGTACTAAGACACTCCCAAAGACAAGTAAAAAGGGTTTAAAATTCAAAATTTATCTTTTCTCGAATCGGGTCAGAATAGGTAGAACCACATGTTGAATATGGATGTGTCACACCTTGGATGCCCATGAGTAATAATTGCCTCATTAATTTGAATATAATAAATATTTATTCAAGTGTATGTGATATATGAGGTTTGATATGCCATACAATTGTATGCATATCAAACAAATCTTACTGTGTAAAGAATACATTTATATCAAAGATATTATTATTTTGTTTGAGCATAAATAGTTTGCAATTTCATTCATTAGAAAAATGACACCATTATATTATAATATATTTGTTTGATTGAATATCAATAATTATTATGTGATCAAGCACATTTTTTTAATAATAAGCACCCACATAAAGAAAACTTTAAGTAATTAAATTGATGTTGGATTTAACATGATTCAGTTGAATTATGCCTACAAAGATTGTTAGATCTTGATAAAAGGTTTCCAAAGTTGGTTGAAGACTAAAAAACATCAACTATTTAAGATTTGTAGATAAATTTATGTCAAGTTTTATTCTAATTGATTGCCAAATTTTCTTTTGTGAAAAATAGTTAAAACCTCCATATTAGAACTTCAAGACGTTAACTAATTATTGGAAGTGATTTTTTTTTTTTTCAATTGGATATGTAGGTAGAAAGTTATGACCTTTTATTATGGGTTGATCGCTTGATCATACCAAATAGACATAAGGAGTTGCATTTTTGTTGAAAGGACATGACTTGCTTTTTGTATTGTTTGAGTGTTTAAGGACCAAAATAGTTGTGGGGATGTTGTAGAAAAGAAAAGGGTAATAAAACATCAAAAGAAGGAAATAACCACATCTTACCAAGCGGATAAATGTCTTGAAAGACACCAAAAATTCAATGAAAATCTTACGCCACCAAGCATGGAACCACAAAAAAGATAAACTTCATTATCTTTTTCTCATTCATAAAAAAGTAACTATTATAGAAGGTTTTTGTCATTTTTAATTTATTAATTACAATCATTTAAAATGTTATAAAACGAAGAAGAGGGCGAGGGGGTTCTAAGGAGTGGATGTAATGGACTTAAAATTATTGAGGCAACGCTTCTTTAATTGGAGAGGATAGTGACTTTTGGTGGGGGTTGTTAAAACTTGGTTTTTCTTCCCCTAGTCATTGCATGACATATGTGATATTGTTATATTGTTGTTTTCTCCTTTTGGAATCTTCCATGTAATGACTTTCCTTTAAATAATGGTCACCCACTTTGATTTAGCCTTACTAGTGTGACCACTTGTATTATCCGTCCAAATTTTGCCTCAAGTCACCCTATATTCCCTTTATTAATACAATAATAAAGTTCTCATAATACACTATTTAAGTACATCAATTTCAAGCAAATAACAAATAAGATTACAACAAAGTCAATCCAACATTAAAATAATGACTGAACAAAAACCACAAAATAATTATACTAGGGAATAATTAGAGTAAATATTGTGAAACTTTGTATAATATATTACATCCTTAATGTGGCACATCATATGGACATAAAAATACAATAGGCACAGATGATATTTAGTGCAACACATTAAGTCCATATATGCATGGATCACTTAATTAGGATTTGAAGGCTTTGAATCAACAAAATTAGTAGCTTAAATGCCTACTATTATAAATGAGTCATATTAGCTTCCTCGCATGGAAAATTGCACTCATTCAAAGCTAATAATAGCCTTGATACCACCGTTTTGGACATAGGGTGATGAAGAAATGGAAGGATAAGGGGAAGAAGATGATGAAATATATATGATAAAAGTTTGATTATAAGTTTTGAATATAGTACATGATAAGATTTTTTAATATATTTACTCTTACTAGTAATACCTATTTGCACTCACTAAGTGATTAATCGAAGAGAAAGAATCAAAAGGGATTTAGCTATAAATAATAATTTTAGCATTATCAAATAGATTAAAATAGTTTTAAGGAAGGAAAATAATATTACATCCTTAATGTGACACATTATAAGCACATAATAATACAATATACACATATGATATTTAGCACAATGCATCAAGTCCATGTATAAATGGATCACTTAATTAGGATATAAAGTCTTTGAATCAACAAAATTAGAAGCTTAAATGCCTATAATTTTAAATAAATCATTTTAGCTTCCTCACATGGGAAATTGCACTCATTCAATGATAACAATAGCCTCAATACCACCATTTTCGACCAAGGGTGATGAAGAAATGGAAGGAGCATGGTGTCACGCCCCAAGATCTAACTTGGAAGAATTATTCAGTTGATCCTTTAAACAATAAACTACCAAAGTTATCTATAGTCATCAATCAGTAAATAACAATCCAACATATTCAATAATTTAAAACATAAATGTACACATAATAATTCATTCCCAAAGTCATTTATAATACTCGGGATCTACACACAATCACGATTCCATCCAGTCATGAGTACAAAAGAATAACTATAACAAAAAGGAACAAAAACCTAAAGATTCCTTATCAATTTCACACTCCTGCTCCTTTGCCATGACCTGAAATCATTAACCACATATAATGAGCTTAAACAGCCCAACAGGTCACCAAATACCTACAACTGAAATCAAA